GAAGACTGCAAAGAAAGGAAGGCAGGATGGAGGTGGGGAGGTTTGGAGTGGGAAGGTGGTGGTGTTAATTACCCATAAGGAAATCTGAGTGTTGCTATCATCTTAAGAAGCATTGTATGCTGGATAGCCAAGATGCAACCAATGTCCAGAAATTGCTTTAACCCTTAAGGCCAGGAGCCATCTACTCAACTTACATTAACATCACATGTATATTTACGGTGTGAGAGCTAACAGGCTAGTTTCAGTAAATAACATGGTGCCTGATGCATAGTAGCTGCTCAGTAAATATTTTTCTGAATGGGTGAATTTTTCTACAGTGTTATTTGTTCTTATCTTTTCTTTTATATCTTTTACATTTCCTAATATTTAACAAATGTTTCTTATTCATGATTGATAAACCAGACCCCCCGAAGGAAAAAGTTCAATGCAGTAAAAGGAGTAGTGGAATAGAATTTTTTCTTACTTCTGCCCCATGTGACTTTGGGGACAGGTCACAACTGCTTTGGGTTTATTTCTTCACCTGTAAAATGAAGTGGTAGAGGTAGATGCTCTTTAAGAATCTGTCCAATTCTGTAAGTCTAACATCATGGGCACAAATATCTAGATGACAGAGACTCAGCTAACTTAGAAAAAATGTTTATAATTTTCACAGTATGAAGTGGCTCTACCCTGAATCTGGACAGAAAGTAAAACCTAACTTACTTGGTAGTATTTAGGAGAAATTGCCAATATTGTAGAAAATCTAGATCACTGTTATCAAACTTTAAAAGAAAGGCAGTAGAATCAATTTTTCAAATGAAATCTTACATTGAATCCCAATGTCTAAAACAAATAAAGGTAAAAACACTCTGACTGAAACAAAGGATATGTGGTTCCCCATCCTCGCACCGTCTCTCTACCACAGGCTCATAGAAACACCATTTGACATTACACATCTAATTCCTGGCAGAATATCCCTAGGCTTTTCTGTACCTTGTGATAGTTGTAAAATGAGATTAGCAATTTTCATTCAGACAGTGGGGAAAAAAATACTTTCCCTGGAAAAGTATATATTCTCTTTCAATGGCATTAAAAAGACTTAGACAATTTGTGAGTCTATACACAATTAATTTCAATTTGAAAAAAATCTAGCAGCAACTAATTAATCCCCTAAACTACTGACAACTAGTAATACATAGTCTAGGACTATTATATTGAACTGAAAATTTAGCTTCCAAAACATTTTTCTAGACTTAACACTAATTTGTAAAATATGAAGACTCTCCAATATATAAATCAATACCATTTAAAGTTTTGCTTATAATTCTAAATTTTAGCAAGACATCTCCTATGTAATCTTTTCCTACAGTCTTGTTTCAGAGAAAAGATACATGTCACCAAAGCCAAAGTAATTTGGCAAATGTCTTTTTTTTAATCACCAAAAGGGAGATTACTAAAAATATATTAAATGACATAAGAACAAACTGTTATCTTTGTGATTAATAATAGTAACCTTCTTAGCCTTAGCAAAGAGAAGCAATTGCTCTTCTCATAAAATTAGCCCATTTCTGTCATTCCTTTACTTGGAATTATCATCATAAAAATCAGTAAGACACATCTTATTATTTTGGACCATAGGTTTCTACCTATAAAATGCCAACCATAAATCTTTGAATATGAGGTTTGCAGAATTTAAACATCCTTATTAAAGTGATCTTTATTTACTAACACTCATGTAAATAAAAGCACATCATTTTACAGTAATGGATAATTCTTGAAAATATGAACATCCATGTGATCAATTTATTGAAGTTAGTGAACTTCAATGATGCCGTATTTTTATGAAAATAATAAATTATGAAGATTTTCCTATATATTTCATAGTTATTGGTTGTCCTTCTGACCTCTCTTGGCAGGATATAAGGTTTGAATTGTCTAGATACTACCAATTATATGACATGGCTTTATTAGATGGACTTGTGCCTTATAACCAACAAGGAAATAAAAAATCATCTCTCATTGTTACAAAATGTCTCTATCTCCTGGATCCTAGGTCCATGTTCAACCACTGAGCCATGCCCAGCTGGGAGCTGATACTGTTCTAATACTTTCTGGATAATAGACTGTAGCCAAAGGCTAACAAAGAGGTAGGAGTGCAAATTTTATTAAATTCCATGACAGCTATGGAACAAAAGGAAGAGAAAACCGGAATAACGAAATGATTCCACTTTGGTTCAAACTATAGCTCCTATAAAGTGAATTTTATCCTTTTAACAATCTATCAGTTCCCAAGGCAAATATACAGAGAGCAAAACCAAATCAATATTCTGGCCATTGTTGGCAATTAGTTTCTGATACACAGGGAGGTGATCATTTGCAATGCAACATTTAAAAAAAATCAAGTATTATTGCAGAGCAGTTTTTAGAAGGTAGTATTTGTGGAGTCACTGAGTGCTTACCTTACTGAATGATCTGGGAAGGCCTGACTTGTGAGGAACAACTGGTACAAAAGCCACTGGCAGGTTCAAGCAATGGAGTGTAATTGCTTTCTGCTTAGGTGATTTATCTTTGATTTGCTCTCCAGAAGTGACAAAATGTGACACTGAATAGCAAGCGATGTAAGTTGAGATAGGCAGAAGCCAGATCATGTTGGGCTTCATAAACGGTTTAGATTTCATGCTGCTTTCAGAAACCCCTGGTGGCATTTAAGGAATGAATTTATCTAAAGTTTAACAAGACCCCTCTGCTTTTTCCAGAAAAGACTGACAATGAAAAAGTAGATAATGGGAGACCAGTTAGGTGATCGCTGCAGTAAATCCTAGTGAATGATGGCTCGTGGTCTAGACTAAGATAATAGTAAGTGGGAGTAGATAGGTTCTGGATATATCAGATAAGGTGTTTCTGGGTGCAAATAACCAAATGCTCAACCTAAGATATCTTACATAGGGAAATGTGTAGACTTATATTATAGGAAGCCAAGTGCTAGAGGAGGTTCACTGTCATCAAAGAATCATGTTCTTCCAGACTTCCTACTTACCTTACCCTCAGACTGAAACGGTTGTTAGACAACTGCCACTAGCAATTGAGACTAGATGCTTCCTTATTCATACCCAGAGGGAGAGGCTCGCTTTATGTGGCTACCTCGAGTCAGAATTCCTGTTTGCCAAATGCCCTTAACCCATTGTTTACTGACCCCCCAGTTTCTTTTTGTTTTAATGTTTTTATTGATTTCAGAGACATGGAGAGGGAGAGAGAGACAGAAACATCAATGAGTCATTGATTGGCTGCCTTCTGCACATCCCCTGCTGGAGATCGAGCCTGAAACCCAGGCATGTGCCCTGACCGGGAATCTCGAACTGTGATCTCCTGGATCATAGGTCTGTGCTCAACACTGAGTCACACCAGCTGGGCTAACCCATACTCTTTTAAAGTCATCCATTCCTCATCCATTCACTTGCATGACAGATGGAGTTATGATTGGTTAAAGATCACTCAAAGCACACCCTAACTGGAAATGGAGTTGGCTTGTCTTGAGTCACATGACCTATGTTGAAAGAATGGATACCTGAGGGAAAAAATGAGTATTTGTTAGAAAATGGAGGGAATAAATGCTAAGTTAGACAAGCAGTGATATCAACTACATGAGATATGATTTGGAGGTGGAGTCGACAGGATTTGGCAATGGAATGAATACTGGGAGAAGATTCAAGAGCAGTTCTTATAGTGTTGGCTTCAGTAATTAAGGTGGAGGTCCTTGGCCGGTGTGCTCAGTGGTTAGAGCATCAGCCCATGCACCGAAGGGTTGTGGGTTTGATTCCCAGTCAAGGGCATGTACCTGGGTTGCACGTTCAACCCCTGGCCTTGGTTGGGGTACTTGCTGGAGGCAACCAATCAATGTCTCTTACATTGTTGTTTCTCTCTCTCCGTGCTCCCCACAAAATCAACTGAAAAAATACCCACAGGAGAGGATTAAAAAGAAGGTGGAGGTATTTGCTGAGATGGAGAAGACTGGAGGAAAGATCAGGTTTGAGAATAATCAAGGCTTCTGTTTTCATCAAGTTAATTTTGATATACTCATTAGACACTGGAGAGGTGACAGAGTTATTAGGTACAGGAGTATGGGATTTCAAAGAGAGGCCAAGACTGAGAATAGAGAATGAAATAATATATATTTATATACATATGTTTTTTAAAAATATAAAGCAATTGAGACTAAAGAGAATTATGGACAAAGCAAGAATTGGACTCAAAGCAGAGCCTAAACTTGTGCCAAGATTCAGAGGTGAAGTACAACAGGAGCCATTAAGGTAGCTAGAAAACTTGAGTGCAACTCCCAGGCATCATGTGTGGGTAGACTGATAGTAGTACAAATTGTTTTAGCTCTCTGCCAAGAGTGGAAGATGTCACTCTTTCTACCTAAGTGTGAGGCAGAAAGGATATGAGTACCTTTAAAAAATGCAGGGTAGATCATGACATGCAATAAAAAGGCATTATTAATACACCATACAATCTTTTCAGAGTGGTTCATTATCATAGCCCTCTAAATTAAACATTTAGTGGGAACAGGATGAAAAGACATGGCATCTAGTGTGGCAACAATTCCAATCCAAGGCCCGATGAAAAACACTGAACATTATTACATCTACGATTTGAATTCAAAATTATCTCAAATGGAATCAATTATGGACAATTACAAAGGAAAAACCCTGGATTCAAATCTATATCTGACACCTGTTAGCTATGCAACCCTTGGACCCTCACTTTCTAACTTATTTTCTCTGAGACTGTTTTCTATTTGGTGAAATATTTATCACAGACAGTTCCTTCCTGTCTGCTTCACAGGGTCATTATGAATTCTAGATTCAAACCATTTAACCTCTCTGAGTCTCACTTAACATTAAAAATTCATAATAAGAAATTTTACTGTCACTATACAATAGATTCCTGGAAAATCATGAATAGTATGAGAAAATTAATTATTAGAGGCAAAAATCAAGACTTCTGAACGAAACCAAAATTAGATCAAAGCATTTATTTTCTGTGTTACAAAAGCAAAAATAAAGCCAAGCAAGAAATGAAATAAACATTTTTTAAGTGTCCCATCCTGGATTCTGTGTCCTAGAATTTAGTAAACAGTTCAACTTTAGGTTGCTTCAAGACTTCTTCTGGATACTATGAGGTCTCCATCTTATAGCCATGTTTCTCTAGTTCAGCTCTAAAATAAAACACAAAAATATAACATCACTAGACATTCTTTATGATAAACATGATTTTTAGAAATAATACGATAAACTAAAAAATGAGCTAAATCTAGGCACCAATTTAAAATACTACCAAATAACTTTATTTTAGTCCATAAAAAGAAATCTATATAGGAAAGAAATTGGGTGTGAAGCAACATAATGCTAATAAAATTTTAAATTCCCATTAGTAAACTTGTATTTCATATTCCTTAATTTTCTGATAAATCTATTTAAAAAATGGGCAAAGGATCTGAATAGACACTTCTCCAAAGAGGACATACAGATGGCTAAGAGACATATGAAAAAGATGCTCAACATCTCTAATCATCAGAGAGATGCACATTAAAACCACAATGAGATATCACTTCACATGTGTCAGAATGGCTCCATCAACAAATCAAACGACAAGTGCTGGGGAGGATGTGGAGAAAAAGGAACCCTCATGCACCGTGTTGGTGGGAATGTAGACTGGTGCAGCTACTGTGGATAAACAGCATGGAGTTTCCTAAAAAAGGAAAAATGGAACTACCTTTAGACCCAGTGATCCCACTTCTGGGTACATATCTGAAGAAACTCAAAATATTAATTCAAAAGAACTGCAGCATTATTTACAATAGCCAAGATCTAGAAACAGACCAAGTGCCCACCAGTAAATGAGCGGATAAAAAAGCTATGGTACATTTACACAACCAAATACTCAGCTGTAAAAAAGAGGGAAGTGTTACCTTTTGCGACAGTATGGATAGGCCTGGAAATTATTATGCTAAGTGAAATAAGTCAGAGAAAGACATGTATCATATGATCTCACCTATAATATGGAATTTAATCAACAAAATAATTTAACAAACAAAACAGGAACAGAAGCATAGATATATAGAATAGACTGACATCTGTCAGAGGGAAGAGGGGTTGGGAAGCTGGGTGAAAGATGGTGAAGGGATTAAACCATACATACATACATACATACATATGTGAATGAATGATTGACACACAGACCCATACAACAGTATGGTGATAACCAGAGGGAAAGGGGGTATGGGGAGGTAGAAGAGGGCAAAGGGGGGGATAAATGGAAACAGAAAGAGACTTGACTTTGGGGGGTGAGCACACAATGCAGTATGCAAATGTTTTATTGAGCTATAAACTTGAAACCTGTAAGGTTTTAATAACCAATGTCACTCCAATAAAGTCAATAAAAAAAATTTCAAGAAGATAACAGAACACAGAAGAGTGACCAATAGAGTTGGAAGGCCTGAATATAAATATTGTAACATCAGAAAGGGGATGCACATAAAAAACAGGTAGGAGGATGTTCTCTGATGTGGCTCCGTTTTTAAAAGGATTGCACCAAAAAGAAATGCAGAAAGTGGCAAGAACTCATATAAATAGAATTAATTTAATCATAGAATGGACTGAGATCTGTAAAAAGAGCAAAAAGGGCTTTGAGAGCTATATATGAATAAAGAAGAATAAGAAGAGATAAATCAAATACTTGGAATAGATGATGTAATATTAAGGGATTTTAGAGGAAAGGCAGGATTATTGTTCAATAGCTATTGTTCCTATCTTGTCCATAACACTGCAAATGAAAAATGTCATTAAGACAAAATTGAAAACTAAGACAGGTGAGATAACTCCATAGTGCATTAAAGTAGTTTAAAGTCTCAAGGCTCTGAATAATTACATCTCAGGGTACTGAAAGAAAGAAAAGATACAGTCAAAAATAAGAGTCAGCAATTTTGAGAAATCATGGAAATTGTAAAAGTACCAGAATAACAGTGAAAGGTAAATTGTAAAAGAGAAAGGAGATGGGTAAAATTGTTATTAATCTCCAGAATAATACTAAAATTGTCGTTAGTCTCCAAAATACTAAAAACACTTTAGAATGTAGGGTTTTGAGCCCATAAAAAATGCAGAGTAGAACAAAAGTTGTATCATGATTAAAAATGTATTTTAAATCTTTGTTATAAATTATCTCACTTCCTAGACTAGAAAAGTAGAGGACTGCAACAGAACTTCTGTATCTTGATTTGAGCAAAGTATGTGACAGTCTACTTGGATATCTTTACGGTGAAGACAGACACATATGGGTTGAATCAAAATAAAATCAGGAAGAAATGAACTGTCTTTACAACAAATGGTTCTAGTACAACTGGACATTCACATGCAAAAGGATGAAGCTAAGCCCTTACCTTCACAATATATACAAAAATTAAGTCAAAATGGATGAAGGCCTAAAGGTAAGAGCTAAAATTCTAAAACAAAACATAGGCATGAATTTTCATAACTCTGACTATGTCAATAAATTATTTAAAAGTAGATCAACTGGACTTCACCAGAATTTAAAATTTTTGTGCAAAGAACGCTATGAAGAAGAACCACCTAACAGAATAGGAGAAAATGTTTGTAAATAATATGTCTGATAAGGACCCAGTACCCAGAATATATAAAGAACTTGTACAACTCAAACACAAAAAAACAACTCAACTTAAAAATGGGCAAAGGACTTGAATAGATATTTCTCCAATATATACAAATGGTCAACAAATACAAGAGCTCGTTATTAGTTGTCAGGGAAATGTAAATTGAAACCACAATGAGATACCAATTCACACTCACTAGGATGGTTATAATTTTTAAATATGAAAATTAAGTATGGGTGAAAATGTGAAGAGATTACTAACACACATTGCTGGTAGTAATGTAAAATTGTTCAGCTGCTGTGGAAAAGTCTGACAGTTCCTCAAAAAAGTTAAATGGAATTATGATATGACCTAGCAATTCTTCCTCTAAGATTATATCCAAAAAAAAACTCTTAAAAGAGGTATTCAAACAAAAACTTGTACATGAATGTTTATAGCAGCACTGTTTATAATAGTCATAAGCTGGAAACAACCCAAATGTCCCTCAACTGATAAATGGATAAACAAATTGTAGCATACCCATACAATGGAATATTATGCAGCCATAAAAATAAATGAAGTACTGATACATGCTAAAACCTGGATGAAACTTGAAAACATGCTAAGTGAAAGAAACGAGACACACAAGATCACTTATTATATGACTGGTTTATATAAAATATCTAGAACAGGCAAATCCAGGCAGAAAGCAAATTAATAGTTGCCAGGGGTTGGGGAAAAAGACAAATGCAGACTGACTGCTTAATTGGTATGGTGTTCCCTTTTGGGGTGCTGAAAATATTTTGGAATTAAAGAGATGATAGTTGCACAACACTGTGAATATACACAATGCCACTAAATTGTACACTTTAAAATGGCTAATTTTATATTATATGAATTTTACTTCAATTGATCCATCAATCAATCATATTAGGTAGATTTGTACATGAATGTGAAAAAGTACACTCCCATCACCCCAATCTCCATTCTAGGTTGACAATCATCAATCTATTGGGTCCTAGCACTCTACAATTCTAATTTTTGCTGAGTTACTAAATACTGGCAGGAAATTAACTGCAACAGAATTAAACTTACAAGGATAAAGAATAGCAAATATGCTTCTATTTAGCTATTTTTGTAAAGAGCCTAGAAAGAACAAAAGTTCTAGGCAATTACACAAAGTATTCATGTTTAGAGACATAGGAGATGAAGGTAATAGATCTTACTTTTCATAATCAAAAAGCAAATTTCAAAGATTAATTATCTTTTAAGAGCTTATTATCATATATAAATGACAGTCTGTGCTTACAATTAATACTAAGTTATACAAAAATCTGGCTTAAAGCTTACCGTAACTGATTGGAGAAGTCATCCTCTACATTGTCATCATCCCAATTATCCTCCCAGACATGTGCATCTTCATCTTCATCTAAACCAGTCCAGTCTGAAAACAGAAACAGACAGCATCTAAATAGTTCTCATATATTATTTCCATAAATACAAAAACTTCAGAAATTTTGCCACTGAAGACTCTAACAATTCAAAACATCTAATACCAAATATATGAGAAATGGTAATCTTCCTCTTTAAATTTCAATTTATGCCATCACATATGTTCTCTCAATTCTTGAATTTGCAGATAATCTAAACCAGAAGTTAATATAAAAATTATATTTTTGCCATGAAAATTTATTATAAATTCAGGAGAATATTTACTTTCCTGATTTTTCCTTGGGCTAATTTTTATACAGTCTATTTCACAATCTTTCAAAACACAGCACTAACACTAAGGCTAGTTCAGTAATAGGAAGATATCAGTCTGAAATTCAAAATTGCTAAACATAAAAAAGGTAACTCATATACAGATAATAAAAAGTAGGCCAAATATTTTCTTAAAATTGATTGTAAAATTGTTTTAGAGGAGAATGTCTTTATTCTTTAAAACATGCACACTAAAATATTTAAGAGTAAAGTGTTATTTTGTCAACAGTTTACTTACAAATGGTTCTCTCTCTCTATAATTTTGATATACATGATAGAAATAAAGTAAACATGACAAAACATTAATTGATGAAACTTAATGTGTTTGTTGCCCTCTTTTTAAAATTAAGGTATAATTAACATGTAACATTATATTAGTCTTAGGTGCACAACAGAATGATTTGATATTTGTGTATATTGAAAAATGATCACCATGGTAAGTCTAGCTAACATCATCATTATACAGTTACATTTTTTTCTTGTGATGAGGACTTTAAAGATCTACTCTCTTAGCAACTTTCAATTATGCAATACAGCATTATTAACTATAGTCACCATGCTGTATATTATATCCTCTGACATTTTATAACTGGAATTTGTACCTTCTGATCCCTTCACCCATTTTACCCCTGTACTCCCCAGCTCCCACTTGCCCTCTGCTTTAAATTTTTCTACAGGGGCCCAGCCGGGCGTGGCTCAGCGGTTGAGCATCGACCTAGGATCCAGGAGATCAGGGTTCGATTCCCGGTCAGGGCACATGCCCGGGTTGCGGGCTGCAGCCGATCAATGACTCTCTCATCATTGATGTTTCTATCTCTCTCTCCTTCTCCTTTCCTCTCTCTGAAGTCAATAAAGATATATTTAAAAATAATAATAAAATAAAATAAAAATAAATAAATTTTTCTACAGGGTTGTAAGTTTCAAAATTAAAATGTCAGAAAAATAGTTTTTGAGATTAGATCCCCTCTTTTGTGTATATCTCTATCACAGCACTTAAATACTATACAATCATATTATCAGTTTATATGTCTATGTTCATTACTATTGTCTGAGCTCAAGAGTAACAACTGTTATTTTATCTTTGTATTCTTAAACTCAAATAGTTCCTAGCATATGGACAACAAATAGTTGTGAAACACACAATAGAATTCTAAATCAGACCTTGTAAATTTTTGTTTGATCTCCTCCCCTTCATAATCAGTAATTATGTGTTACATACTCTCTTAAGTCTGTCCTAGTCATTAGCTTTATTTTAGTAGATAAGTATTAGAAACATGGCTAAGAACATTTAAACCTGAAAACTAAATAACAAAAGGTATGAGTTAGGTTTTTCTTATAATGCACAATTAGATTTAAGGGTATTCATCAATGACATATGAGTATTTTATTCGTTACATTATGTACCAACTAAATTTTTTAAATGCAATATATGTCTTCATTATGATTTAAGAATAGAAGTAAGTACCTCCATTTACCTGGTCCCCCAAAGCAGAATCCTGGGAGGCATCTTAGTTACCCTTTCTCCTTCAACCATCACAATCATTAACTATGTCCTTTCCAATTCCTGACTATCTCCAGAGTTTAATCTGCCCCTCCCTATTCTTACTGCCACTATGTTAACTGAGGGGTAATTTTTCCCTCCATGGACTATTACTGTCCTCTTTGTGTCCTCTCCTCTCCAGTCTTACACAGTATATACCCATCCTACACGGATGCCTAAAACAACCACTGCCATTCCTGTGGCTACTATTCTAAACCTTCAGGTAGGAACCACATTTTATTAAATTTGCAACTCTAATGCCCACAGCTGGGTGCTGGGCACATAGTAGAAACTTAAAAAAATGTTGTAGTTCCATTTAGAAACTATTATTTCTCAAATTTCCTCCCTGAGTGGTTAATCTGAAGAAAACAAGCTAGTGATGGTTTCACTTGGTTTAGAAAAGCCAAGAGTATGTATTTCAAGATAGAAGATATCAACAATATCATGCATTATGAATGGGCTATGTAAAATTCTCAAATATATTTAAGTCTGCTTTTGAGAAATGTGATCACCTCATTCAATTCTCCCCTAAAAGAGACCATGTGGGAACTATCTTTAAGACTACAGTGCCTAAAAAGATGAAAAAGTTTCCCTTAGGCAATTTGTTTCAGGTTGCTAAGAAGCAACAACACACAGTCAAATGTATGCCCAACTTTAATCACTGTATAAGGCAGTGAATGTATATTCATTAGTAAACACTCACAATAATAAAAAATAAATTTTTACCTGCATAAATTTTTTTATGTCTTCTAGTAATATTATTCTCAAAGAGGGAATGTTGCAATTACCTAAATTGAAATCCTATACTATTCTCCTAGGTCCTAATAGTAATACTGAATAACAGTAAGTACTAATTACATCTCAAAATTAAGTTGACTGGGCTAAATATATCCTTATATTTTCTCCTTTCTTGTAGAAGTACCTTAAGGCTCAAACTGAAAATTTTTATTCTGTTGTGAAACTAACTATATTTTTAATGAAGAGTAGATTAGTATGTTAAAAAGAAAATCATATTCAGCTCAGTCTACCAGAAGAATGATCAGACAGCTACTGTAAACCAATTTAACAGACATAGCTACTCCCAAAGCTAAAGAAAAATTGAAAGAATAACATTTCTGCACTTTCACAGTCTAGAAAAGTTTCTTAATTAAGCCAAGAGTTAATCATTAGGTATAGGGACAAAATAGTACTGTTACTCTCAGAGTGCCATTGCAATCACTAATAAACTGTATACTATGTACATTATAATATTATACATAAACTTTCTTTTTTTATTCTTCTAAAAACAGAGAAATCTCAGTAGGAAAGGAATGATTATAGGGTAAAAATAAATAGGGCAGAAATTGCAGTATTAAGTATACAAGAGAGGGACATTAAGAAAAGGAAGTAGGGGGTGCAGCCTAAGATCAAATTTTAAATTTCAAAGGAGCCTCATTTCAAACAGTAGCTATATTTCTCTGTAATACTGTATCACCAAAAATCAACTAAATAATGTAAAAACTTAATAAAGCACTTCAAATAATCCCAATGTATCTTTTATAGAAATTTATATTCCTATATGCTGAATTTGTAATGAAACAACTAAGTCCATTATCCCTTTTACAGCAAGGAACAATAACTATGATACTATTCCTCCACATTCCCACCAGTTACTATAATCTCTCTGGAGCTACCTAATAGTATTAATGGACAATTTAGGATTTTTGTTCCTTATTTTGTTTTAATGACATTAAGGCCTTCAGTATAAAAAATTCACATAAAACTATTTCACTAAACTGCAATGGAGCAAGGTTTGGCTTTATACTTCAAGTTTTTATAAAATGGTTAAGACTGAGGACTGTATAAAATTACAGAATTTGGGAGACAGAAAACACCTTAGAGATCAGTGTACATTATACTCCTCTTTGAAAACCACCACCATTACCACTACCAAAAAATAGAGAAAATGAAGACTGTCTTACAAGAAAATATTTATTAATTTTTTCTACCATTATTTCATGACCTCAAATCCTAGGCTCTAAATATATTTGGGATAAGTCTATAAATAGAAATTGTCAAATTAAATATTCATTTTACTGATATTTTAAGGAGTCTTTATAAAGCTAAGAGAGGTTAATGTTCCACAAAATAATCTGAATTCATTAAGACTAGATAATACGTTCTTGAGTAAAGGGGGTGACATATCTCAAGTCACAACTGAGTTGTGCTAAGGGTTCAAGACACCAAGCCTCAGATCAGCTTGAACAACTTCTAACCAGCTTCCTAAATTGTTAACTACATGGTTTCCATCTGCACTGGTCCCTAAAAAGGAAATGATAATGTGTCAAAAGATTCAAGTTAAGAAATATAAAATAACAGGAATATTTTTTTTCAAATATCTCTGCTAACCTTGTAAACCTACCCTTTCCAGAACAGTAAAGATACTAGCCCCCAGGAACTTTTAATTTAATTATGATTTGATTCAAAGCATTGATTTTAATATTATTATTTGATGTCATTCAAATGTCTTCAAGCTAGCTTTAATTCTTTTAACTCTGAAAGACTAAAAAAACCATACTTGTTAATTTGTACCCAACTGCTTCAGAGAGGTAGAAACATAATGTAATCTGTAACTTTTCTGTAGGAGCCCCAATCCTGAATTCTAAAAAGGCTAGAAAAAGTCAAAATTCTTAACATGATACAGAGATACTAGTTTGAACAGTCCAAGAAAAAAAAAACTGCCTCATCAAACGGGGAAAAACAGTATTGTGAGCAAGATTTTAGGTACAACACACACCCCAAAAAAGACTCAACAATAGCTCTATATGTCTTTGGTATCATTCATTACACTGTACTTCATAATTATGACATTTTTGAGTATACAAAGATACAAAAATGGAAAAGCTGGTTAAATTCTTCATTAATCATCACATAAATCTGAATATACTCTTTAACTTTACTGTCTTAAGAGGCACTGAAGCCCCTATATCATGCTATTCTTCCAATCGCCAGAGATGAAGAATCCAAGACAACAATTGTTTGAATTACAACTTAAATATTTTAAATTATTTAATAAGAGTACCATTAAGAAACTTAGTGTTCACAGTGACAAATCAGAATCTATAATATATTTTGGGTAGAAACTTTAAAGATTTTCTTTATTA